GGTCGCCCGCCCAAGCTGCTCTCTTCCTGAGCCTCAGGGAGAAAGTGGATGGGACGGTGGTCTCAGGAGAGTTTGCCATAATATTGCCTGGGTCATCACTGGGTTCCAGACGGGGAGGGAACAGAGGGGGTCTGAGTAGCCAGAGGGCCTCAGAGCAAGGCCTCGAGGGCTGCATGTGGCCCACGGGCCATGAGTTGCACCACCCTGTATTAGAAGAATGGTGTCTTTACACAAAGGAAGAAAGTAAAAGAAAAGGGGCAGAAGCAGAGCTACACAGAACTTCAGGAAAAATAATAAGATTCCTGATGGAGAGCACATATCTTTAGCAGTTATGCAGCACCAAATATCAAAATTTAGTGTTTATAAGCAAAATTTGTCCTGCTTGGTACTCTGTAGCCTCTGTGCTTTGTATTGGTACAGAGTGGCTTGTCACCAAATTTTGACTGCATTTTTTCAGAGGGTGCCTCACAAACTACACTGTACCCCCATGGACTGCAGCACGTGGCGGGGGGGGGCATCCAAGTTGCAAAAATGACCTCCCAAAGTTTCCACCCCTTCCAACAGATCTACACCAGCCTAGTGCTAAGGTCACAGAGCTCCCTCTCTAATCTGGAGAAAAGCAACAAGAATGATATAAGAATATGTCTTCAAAGGTTCCTGTTGGAGCTTACTCAAGGGTGAGAGTCAGGGCTGTCCTTGTCACAACCTACAAAAGGGATGGGCCTCTTGAAAAGGGTCTGGTGGCCAATTCTGGGCCCCCTGATTGCAGTGGGGAAGTCAAACAACCCCCCAGCATAATTGCACCAGACTGCTAAATTTCAGTGGCACGGCAGGGAGAAAAGATACACATCAATTTCAAAAGGAGAAAAAAGCGCAGTGCGGAGAGCTCAGAAGAGAACACCCACTTCGTGCCTTGCCTTAAGGGGACATGCACCTTTCATGCCACTGGGCCACTGACATTCAGCAGCTGCACTTTGATGGGCCACAAAACAGGAGCAGGGGCTGCATGTGCGTTGCTCACTCCAGATCCACAACATTCATGCACAGAATTAACTTGCCATCTCTAGGTTACTCATTCCAAAACAACAGGAATATTCTATAACAGGAATATAACTTGCCCAACCTATTATTTTGTTGATAGGCTGAGCCCCAGCTCATCACACAGAGCGGATGCCAGGTGCCGACACAGTGTGTGTCTGTCTTCTTTGCTTCTTGAGCGCCATGGCATTTCTAGTCCAGGCACTGCTTTTAAAAGAATCAACAAGGCAGCAAGGTTTTTCTGGCAAACCAGAGCCAACAAAGCAAACTAAAAAACCATCAGTTAAAGAGAAGGAGATGGATTGTAACATTTCCTCATCCCATGCAGTCAATAAGATATAAACAAATGATGGTATAAAATAAGTGAGTGCTGGTGGAAAACTCTCCAGGGTGACTAATCAATACCGTCAATATTGCGCTAGACGAGTAATTTGTTCCCATCCTTCAGACGATCATGTGCAACAAAAAGCAGATACACTGTGCTGTTCTTTAAGTGTCTCATTTCGGTTTGATTTTACCACTGACTAATACAATCCCAATTTATGAAGGATGAAATTTCCAAGAATGTTTATCATGTCATCAGTGCAGTTCTATCAAATGGTCCAATGTAAGTACACAATTCAGATATGAATTAGTTGAGGGATTTACCTGTGCGGGGGGTGAGGAATCAAACTTCTTCTGAGATCACTGTATTATGACCATTATTAAGATCATTTATACATTACCGTTCATCGTAAAAGGTGGCCAGACACTTCACAATATAAGGCCAACTTAAGGAATAGCAATGCCTGAGGAAGACTGCATTGCTAAAGTCAAACAGCTTTCCTTGCAAAAGGAGAGCTAACTGTTTCACCAGCTGCCTATTTCTTTTTGCATTTTGCTTAGCAATTTTGTCATTTAATGCATTGTTGCTGGCCACATCAAAATGAAAGGAGGGAACAAAAATGATTTAAATTATCATGCAGCTCCTGCACTGCAATCTAGCTTCGTCCAGAGATTGGAAGTGTCTTCAAACAACCTTCTAAGGCAACCTGATGCCTCCAGATATTCTGAACTACAACTCCCATCAGTTCCAGCAGACATGGATCATGAGACATGCAGTCCCATGCTTCTGCTTAAGTGTGTGCAGCAGGGACACAGGCGATCTGGGTTCTAGTTCCCATGCAATCATGGAGCCTACTGGGTGACTTTGGGCCAGTCCCAGACTCTTAGTTCAACCTACTCCACAGGGTTGTTGTTATGAGAAGATTGAGAGGAGGGGGAGAATTATGCAAGACACCTGAGTTCTTTAAAAAGAAAAAAAGGTGGGATATAAATATAATAACTAAATAATACATACTCTGTAAGCAGGCCTATAAGTGCTCTGGTCATGTCAAATGCTATGGAAATACTAAGCATGATTATTATTTCTATATGTCTGATACACAGAGAATAACTGATACAGCTTGTCTCTGTGCCATACAATATTTTGATTTTACCTTCCCTCCCTAGTGCCCTTTATGAGGTATGTAAACAGAATCCTTTTTATGGCAGAAGCAAGATCCAGCATGATGCCTCCTCTGGTGGAATCTACCTTTAGTTGTGAACTGGGCTGTATCGAATTAGCTGAACTGAAAAGAAAACAGTCACATGGACGGGAAAAGAACAAGCAAAGGAAAAAGAGAAAGGGTTTTGGATTGCTCACACTTGTTCACTTCTCAGAGCAAAATGGATGCCAAATACTTACAACTCTGCTCATGTATGCATTGAAAGAGAGGATGGTGGGTTTTAGTGGGAGGGTTTTTCATTTTGTTTTGTTTTTTGGAAAAGCAATAAAACGTGACCTTTGAGACTCGTTTTTGTGTTGAGAAGCTTGGAGTAGGAGGAGAGACGGCCTCGGGCCTCGCTCCTTGGTGCGGCGCCAAATGTGTCATCACAAAGCCAGATTTCCAAATGCTGTGGACAGGAACTTACAGCCCAGCCGTTTCTTCAATACAACTTTTCATAATGCTGATAAATCAAAGCTACTGACACAGCCGTCCATGCTGTGTTCAGAACTGGGGCCCACTGTCTGGTGACAGGCCATGGGAATCTTTCAGAGTTCTTCCTTCAATGTTCAAGCTTCATTCAAAACAAAAACCTCAACTCTCCAGTCCTTTTGCTCACTGGGATAAGGGGAAGTATATTATGAGGACCAGGGCATGGCTGGCTGGCTGGCTTGGACAGGATGAATGCTGAGACCAGGGTGCCGGTGCAAGGCAGAGTGCCATACGAGTTTGTAGCAGCAGCGTGCTTAACGGTCTAGGGTCGAGAAGGAGGAAGCAGACAGTCCAATAAAACACAAGAGAGAAGGTGTGGTCTACAAACAGTCCACAAGTCAAAACCTGGGAGAGCAGTCATGGGAAAGTGATCAGGGTTGAGGAGGGAGGGTGTGGAGATAGGCAGGAGCAGAGGCGAGCATGGCAGGGATGGGTAGATCCAAGCAGAGACTAACTGGAGCAAAGAAGGAACAATCAGAGCACAGCTGGAGTGCTCTGTTTGTATGCCGCCCCGAGGCTTCGGCAAATGGGGCGGCATAAAAATGTTTTAATAAATAATAAATAAATAAAATAAGTAGGGACAACTGGGACAGGGCTGGACCAAGACAGCCCTGGAGCAGGAACCTGAAGTGAAGCACGGAGATGCGGAGATCCAGAGCACCAGGAGCCATGCGAACGGCTTGTGTGGCAGAGCGCAACAGTGCAGAGAGGCGTTTTATGCAGCTGCACCACATGATTGCCTCTCAGCTGTTCCCTGCAAGCGCCTGGGGCTGTGTGCCTGGTTCTGCAGGCGCAGGCACTTGCAGGGTCTGTCAAGTCCTGGTCCTGACATATACAAGAGGTTAAGATCTCTTCTTGCTGGTGCCAGAGTGGAGGACATGGAATAATCAATTCAAGTTGCGACAACCCAGATTCAGGCTGGACATCAGGAAAAGCTTCCCCACTGTCAGGGCAATACGACAGTGGAACCAGCTGCCTAGAGATGTGCTGGGCTCTCCCACACTGGAGACATTCAAGGCGAAACCCAACAGCCACCTGAGCGGGATGGTGTAACGTGGTATCCTGCCAACAGCAGGGGGCTGGACCCGATGGCCTTCATGGCCTCTTCCAACTCTACAGTTCTATGATTCTATATACAAGCCAGATTACTTCCTCTAACAGTGAACCAAGGGGAAGCATCCCAGCAGAAAGAGAAGCAAAGGAGAAACAACAGAGAGCGACCAGCATGCTTGGTGGAACTCAGAGTTGCAGAAGTCCAAGAGTTGCTTGAAAAGGGAAAGGGGATCCATAGCCCAGTGAGCACTGGGCATGCTCAGCAGCCACAGAATGCTGAACACAGCTGGAAAAGAAAAGGTGTGTACACACGTGTGTATAAAAAAGCAGGATATTCTAGAAGAGGACCTGGCGGGACGGCCAGCTGGCACCCTGAGCAGGAGCACTCATTCCAGAGAGGAGGATGCTTTGCAGCATTTTCTTGCAGAGCTCACTTGTTCTATTCAATTATTTAGTTTTCCACATTTTGGCCAACAAGTACACTGGGACAACCGATGTGCTCCGCACTTATTTTTGACATGCCTGACTGGGGGCCACATTGCTTTTCCTTTGCTTCCTGAGTCCTTTTAAAGTATCCTAAACATTTTAATGATTTTTCTATTTACTTTATATTATTTTAGCCTATGTGAGCAAGCTTTACATTTTATCCCTGAAGGTCATTTTGGCAGGTACACTTATCAGCTGGATTGCTTTTGTACTGCTTTCATTTGCACACTTGTGTTATTATGCCTTGTACAACAGCACTTGAGGGAAATATATTTGAGGTGTTTCATACATTTAAGAACAATACTTCTAAGCTTCCCATCTTTTGCAGGAATCAATTTTAGTGTTTCCCAGTAAGAGCCCCAACACCGCAAGGTTTCTGGTGCAGGCCTGGCTACATTGCCTTACCTTTTTGGAACAACTCCTGAAGGCTTTCCGCACTTTGATTCAATATGGCCCATAATTCTTCTTCATGCAGTGGTCCTCCGCGAACCTCCAGGGCCTCGGCTAGTGATACATGCATGTTATCTGAGGAAGCAAGACAGGATGACACTTGTTCAAGAATGTGCCTGAAACTCCACTCAGCTCTTGCTTTCTGGGCAGCTTTTGCATAGAATCTGGGAGGAATTTTCCTCAGAAAGCAACAACCCTTTTGACAGACAGCTGCTGCAATTCAGACTTGCCTGCAAAATTAATTGCTTGAATTCCTGGACACACTGCACAATTGCACAGGCACTGCACACACAGAAGAACTGCTGATGGTCTCAGCAATGAATGAAAGGTCTGATTGGTGCAAAGCAGGTTCAGATAGTCACATTGATTTCCATATTAAGGGAGCAATCCTATGCATGTTTAAACAAAACAAGGACATACAACTATGGCAGTCCCCAGCCAGCTATGCCAGAGTTGCAGGACCTTTTTTCCTGTTTAAAACAGCACAGGATTATGCCTTGTAGGTGCTAAATAAAACATTAAGAACATCTTTCTTTTCTCTTTGTTTCACTGAATGCTTTGCCCTGGCTAGGTTCTACAACTGCAGGGGTAATTTTTATGCTCCTCTAAGACGCTTTGTCCACATTTAGGGACTGGCAGCCAAAAGAGAAACTTAGAAAGCTGCCTTTTATGTTGTCAGGACGTCCATCTCAGCACAGTACTGTCTGCACTGGCTGCGGGTTAGGACAGGGGTCTGTCCCAGCAGGGGTCTTTCCCATCCTTACCTGGACATGCCATAGACTGAACAGGGGGCACAGGTTCCACCTGTGAGCAGCAACCCTCCCCTTAAGGCAGTCTGTGAGCAGTTCAATCTGCACCCGAACAACAAGATGCTCACACTGAGTCAGGGCCGAATCCACCGCTTCATAAGGCCAGTGAGACCCCACTGGCTGCTTCTGTCACCTGCAGAGTTGCAACCTGCGGTAACACCCTCTAGGCATTTGCAAAGGTGGTGCTGCAGCATCACTGCAATTAAAGTGACATTTCCTCCCAGACATGCTATAAAGCATCAGTGCTATTTGTTCACATTCAGTGCATTACTCAAGATAGCAATATGCTAACAAGAGATTTAATGACCAAAATCTTCTGAAATATTTGTTCAATTGTTTTTTTAACAACTGTATGACTGTGACTTGCAAGTTAATTTCAGCAGCATACCTACTTTATATCTTAGGCTTTGTGATTCAGGGATTAAAAAAAGAAACACTAGGTTCAGCGTAATCCAAATTCTGCAGCTGGTATAAATTATGGAAATTCAGTTCCACACATTTATGAGTTCCCCCCATTGTGTGAGGTACAGTAACGTGCAGGATGCAACGAATGGCACAGTAGCTTTACTCCCTGAAAAGTTTATTGAGCAACTCTTTTAGTATTCGATATATCACCACGCATAGCCCCTATAGTCTCAAGCTGGTCTTTGCAACCATAAGGACTAGCAACCTAAAAGCCACAGAAAACTCGATGGGTACAGGGGATGAAGGAAATGGAGACCCAGTTGTGAGAACTAATATTGTGTCCTAGAGAAAGACGCAGCTGATAGCTTCAACACAGAAACATGCTATAGGTCCTACTTGTTAATTAAAAAAGCAATCCAAACTAATTTAAGATTACATTTGTCTTTTATGATACCAATATCAGTGGAGAGAGGCTCAAAAGCCATTTTGGTTGCACATGCAAAATCTGCCTGAGTTAGGATACTGCCCTTCTTATACTGGAATTTTCAGGAAAATATCAGCCCACGTGATAAAACGGAAGTAAAAGCTCCTCTCTGAGCTCACAGAAATGCCTCAAGTTACTCCATATTTGCTTGCAGCCCCACTGACCTGTATTGCTAAGAATTGAATGTTGTGGATATATTCTTGGAGAAAGATGCATATAGCTGCTAGAAGATGAGGGAGCTCCCCGTTTGATAATGCCCTTGTTCCTTCAAAGCCCTTTATTTCAAGCATAAAACTGCTCTGAAAACTTTGGTTGGCTTAATAACAAACACGAGGAAAACAAACTCATATAAATTTGATGTTCCATATGTTCTAATTCTGTTCCAAATTACCTCTAGACACTGTTGGAAAATAATTGTAGCTATAAAAAGAAAAATGGGTGGGTCAGAGTCAAGGGGTCCAAGATGTCTTTGGACTGCCTGCTGAAGCTTGTAAAAGTTTTGAGAGCTTCACTTTCCATTAAGAAAAAAAAAAGGGGGGGGAAGGGAGAGAGAAGGAAATTCCTAGCAGTCAGTTTTGCAGGTCTGAAACTGTCATTCTAAACATACAGGGGGCAAAGTCCCAAATTCATTTCTCTCTTTCTTTTCCACTGGGTTTATTAACAGAATGCAAAGGTAAAATGAATGCAAAATGAAACAATGGGCCAATGCCAATTAACAAAGCAATCACATCCAAATTTGAGACTCTCTCTCCCTCAAGATATAACTGAAGGTTTTCAGGTCAGTTAAAAGCGGAAAGGGAGAACGCCATTAAACTGTGTCTTCAGTCCCAGGATGGGCTGAGGAGGATCTGGTGAAGGAGGGCTTATACAGGAGGTAAGAGGTTTGACCATGCCTGGGTTGGCCTTGGTTGCGTCCATTTCTCAAAGAGGGCCTTGCATCACACATGTCTTGTCTGGATCAGATACAGCACAGAAGCTCCACCAAGTTTGGGGGCTGATCAAAGCATTCTTGGGGTGGGCCTCTCCCTTTCCCACCCCTTTTTTAGTCTTGTGGTACTGGCACCAGCTCGTCTTCCTCTCCCTGCCCCTGCTGGGTGGCTGGCAAAGGACCCCTGTGCCCAGCAAGCTGAGACTGCAGCCCTGTGCCACTTTGAAGTTTTTCCCAACTTTGTAGGCAAGAGCACAGAAGCAGTGCCAGGAATGTCCCTTCATTACTCTGGTTTCCTCATTATCTGCATCCTCACTGCAGGAAGTGATTGCTTGGTTCAAGCTCAGTGCTACTCATATGTAAGCTAGGTTTCCCACTTTGCACCACCAAAACACCGGCCTTTTTTTTTTAAGCAAAAGCTCTTTATTCTCCAATGCACTTCCAGCAAGCGAGTCAACCAAGAATGGGTCTCTGAGCATGCACAGAGCAGTTTGTTGAACTCAGTCCAGCAAGTGCTATTGAGCAGCCTCCTTTTCAGTACCCTTGGGACCCCTCCCTCTGGGATGGCCCTTTCGGAGATGGGCAAGTCTCTTCTCTGTCCATTGCCCCTCTACTCGGTTGGCCCAACTCTCCAGACACTGCACCTCCCTGGAGTTTTAAATCCCGGCCATTCTCAGTGTCCTCCTGAGTACCCGGGCAGGGTGCCCTTGAGATAAGCCCCTCCACTTCTTCCATTTCAGTGTCTGAGGATTCTGGTTCCCAGGGCCCCTCCTCACCTGGTGAGTCCAAATCCGCCAGACTTGGGAAAGCACACCAAGCGTAACTGCCCCTTTCGCTGCCTTATCTGCAACTATTCAGAAAGGCACACATGGATTCCAAAACTGAGTGAAAGCTTATACCCTTGCATTAATAGTCTGAAATCCATTTAACTCTTTCAACATAAAGATTTCTGAAAACCTTTCACTAAACATTTTCAAGGGCTAACAGTCACCCCCAATCCCTGCTCCAAATGGTAAATTTCAAAAAAAGACGGCTAAGTGTTATTTATCCACCCAATATAGCACAACAGAAGCCAAGAAAACTACACGCAGGTGTGTTTTCATCCCACTAGTATATGAAAATCAAGGACAGCGTTCCATCTTGCCTTGTGCAACTGATCACTACCTGCCTGGGCCTTCCTCTTAAGTGATGCAATGTATTAAAATGGCATTTCTAGTTGGAATCAACCCTGTATGGTGAAAACAGTTTATGCAGTTTATGAAAGATCTAAATCTAGGCAGAAGCTGGACAGTCACCTACTTGGGATTCCCCAGCAGCAGACTGCTTGCTCCAAAGTCCTTAATAATACCATGCTTCTAAAAGTACTGCACATTTCTGCATCAAAATATGCCAATCCCCACCCACATTCTCAAAACCTTCATATGACACACCTGCCTGGTGCAGATATAACATTCCTGACCTCCACTGCATGGTTTCATCATCAGAAATATGGTACAACCTGGTATGGGCACCTTCCTTCTCCAACAGGAATCCCCCAGTGCCTTCTATGGCATTTTACCATAGAAGCTACACACTGCAGCTATAACCGGCCATAGATTCAAGGCAAGTTCAATCAGCCTTAGGATGCAAACGTGCACATGTCTAGAAGGGTCAAACTTCTCTCAGACAACTAGCCTTTATCCACCAATGTGGATGCAATGAACTTTGTATACAGCAAACCATGGAAGGGAGGACAGATCAAGAATGGATGAGAGTGTGGAAAGAAACAGCTTTGTGGAATATCCCAAGAGTCTTTTGGGATTTGGAGTTAGGGACCGTGAGCCTGTACTAGGAAGGAATTGGAAGAAGCAAATGGGGATGGATGGGAAAGATAATCAAGCGAAGCCAGAATGAAGTGACAGAGGCCAAAACTCTGTGATAGAGCACATGAGCTGCATGCAGAATGGTCCTGCATCTCCAGGTATGGATGGAAACAATCCTGCCTGCAACTCTGGAGAGCTGCTGCCAGTCAGTGCCAGCAATACTGGGCTAGGTGGATCCATGGTCTGACCCATCAGGACCTACTTGTTCTTAATTATTCTTGGGGAGCTGGCTGGTCAAAAGGAAGGCAGCCGGACAGAGGGTACAAAGTGTTCTTAGGACCAGACTAAAACTACTCTTTTATCCATTTAACTATCAACCATGACGAGGAGGGGACAAGCAGGATCAGACCATGGCCCATGGGGCAGGGAAGTTAATCCTGCTGCCACCTGACATAATCCTGCCAAAACTCTAACTCTCCCCAAAGCTTTTGTCAGCCCTGAAAGGGCAGCCTCTGGCAGTGCTGGAAGAAGCTTCTATGCTCAGCCTAACAGTACCTTCTGGGGAACAACCTTTGATATAGCAGGGAAGGGCTAAATACCTCTCACATGACCTGCTGCTCTCGTGGCTAATACCTCTGATAGATATT